CTCGTGACAATATATCGGAGGAATACAATCACTCGTGACAATATATCGGAGGAATAAAATCAATCGTAACAATATATCGGAGGAATAAAATCACTCGTGACAATATATCGGAGGAATAAAATCACTCGTGACAATATATCGGAGGAATAAAATCACTCGTGACAATATATTGGAGGAATACAATCACTCGTGACAATATATCAGAGAACTGAAGCCACGCGTGTCAATATATTAGAAGAAATGACGTAACTAGATACTTATAAACTGACTTTTCCAGCTCCGTGACAGTATAACAGAAGAACTTACGTCACTGTCTACTGACAGTCTGCCGTTATTTAGATATTTAAAAACTGAAGTCGTTCGCTCCTTTACAATTTAAAAGAGCAACTGACGTCATTGCATACTGATGAACTGTCTATATAAGTACAGTAACATAGGAACTGACGTTGCTTGTTCTATGACACTATAACAAAGGACTGACGTCACCCATGACAATGTAACAGAGCTACTGACGTCACTAGCTCCGTGACAATAAAACAGAAGAACTGACGTCAGGAAGCCCATGACAATATAACAGAGGCAATGACGTCATTAGTTCCGTGACAATATTAAAGAGAACTGAAGCCAAGCGTGTCAATATATTAGAAGAAATGACGTAACTAGATACTTATAAACTGACTTTTCCAGCTCCGTGACAGTATAACAGAAGAACATATGTAATTGTTACCTGACTCGATATAGAAATGCATATTAATCAATTTCGACTGTTTCCCAGACAGTTCACCAAACGAACTATAGCTACTGTGTGCTACCGTAAAACTGTTGACTGGTCACGTGAAACTGTTGACTGTTCACGTGAAACTGTTGACTGGTCACCGTAAAACTGTTGACTGTTCACGTGAAACTGTTGACTGGTCATACACGTGTTAGGTAATCGAACTCACCTATAATTACAAGCACCCCGATGATCAAGCGTTTTTGGTACTGGATTGTTGACGGTCGTCTGTCGGTAGATCTAAACATCATATTCGACATGGAACTTTTTGTTTTTCATTGGTCAAGTAACAAAACAGTTGTTTCATGCCTTATCAGTCAACAGTCAAAACCATTTTCCGAACCACAAGCCGAAATTGGACGAAAAGCCAGAAACAGTCAAAAAAACAACTAATTCTAATTTATATAGACTATTGGGTAATAAGAACTGATGTTGCTAGTTCTATGACACTATTACAAAGGACTGACGTCACCCGTGACAATATAACACTGGAAATGACTTAATTATCAGTCTATAGAAGTAATTGTCGAGATATATTGTAATATCATCCCTAATTATAAGTCTATAGAAGTAATTGTCGAGATATATTGTAATATCATCCCTAATTATAAGTCTATAGAAGTAATTGTCGAGATATATTGTAATATCATCCCTAATTATAAGTCTATAGAAGTAATTGTCGAGATATATTGTAATATCATCCCTAATTATAAGTCTATAGAAGTAATTGTCGAGATATATTGTAATATCATCCCTAATTATAAGTCTATAGAAGTAATTGTCGAGATATATTGTAATATCATCCCTAATTATAAGTCTATAGAAGTAATTGTCGAGATATATTGTAATATCATCCCTAATTATAAGTCTATAGAAGTAATTGTCGAGATATATTGTAATATCATCCCTAATTATAAGTCTATAGAAGTAATTGTCGAGATATATTGTAATATCATCCCTAATTATAAGTCTATAGAAGTAATTGTCGAGATATATTGTAATATCATCCCTAATTATAAGTCTATAGAAGTAATTGTCGAGATATATTGTAATATCATCCCTAATTATAAGTCTATAGAAGTAATTGTCGAGATATATTGTAATATCATCCCTAATTATAAGTCTATAGAAGTAATTGTCGAGATATATTGTAATATCATCCCTAATTATAAGTCTATAGAAGTAATTGTCGAGATATATTGTAATATCATCCCTAATTATAAGTCTATAGAAGTAATTGTCGAGATATATTGTAATATCATCCCTAATTATAAGTCTATAGAAGTAATTGTCGAGATATATTGTAATATCATCCCTAATTATAAGTCTATAGAAGTAATTGTCGAGATATATTGTAATATCATCCCTAATTATAAGTCTATAGAAGTAATTGTCGAGATATATTGTAATATCATCCCTAATTATAAGTCTATAGAAGTAATTGTCGAGATATATTGTAATATCATCCCTAATTATAAGTCTATAGAAGTAATTGTCGAGATATATTGTAATATCATCCCTAATTATAAGTCTATAGAAGTAATTGTCGAGATATATTGTAATATCATCCCTAATTATAAGTCTATAGAAGTAATTGTCGAGATATATTGTAATATCATCCCTAATTATAAGTCTATAGAAGTAATTGTCGAGATATATTGTAATATCATCCCTAATTATAAGTCTATAGAAGTAATTGTCGAGATATATTGTAATATCATCCCTAATTATAAGTCTATAGAAGTAATTGTCGAGATATATTGTAATATCATCCCTAATTATAAGTCTATAGAAGTAATTGTCGAGATATATTGTAATATCATCCCTAATTATAAGTCTATAGAAGTAATTGTCGAGATATATTGTAATATCATCCCTAATTATAAGTCTATAGAAGTAATTGTCGAGATATATTGTAATATCATCCCTAATTATAAGTCTATAGAAGTAATTGTCGAGATATATTGTAATATCATCCCTAATTATAAGTCTATAGAAGTAATTGTCGAGATATATTGTAATATCATCCCTAATTATAAGTCTATAGAAGTAATTGTCGAGATATATTGTAATATCATCCCTAATTATAAGTCTATAGAAGTAATTGTCGAGATATATTGTAATATCATCCCTAATTATAAGTCTATAGAAGTAATTGTCGAGATATATTGTAATATCATCCCTAATTATAAGTCTATAGAAGTAATTGTCGAGATATATTGTAATATCATCCCTAATTATAAGTCTATAGAAGTAATTGTCGAGATATATTGTAATATCATCCCTAATTATAAGTCTATAGAAGTAATTGTCGAGATATATTGTAATATCATCCCTAATTATAAGTCTATAGAAGTAATTGTCGAGATATATTGTAATATCATCCCTAATTATAAGTCTATAGAAGTAATTGTCGAGATATATTGTAATATCATCCCTAATTATAAGTCTATAGAAGTAATTGTCGAGATATATTGTAATATCATCCCTAATTATAAGTCTATAGAAGTAATTGTCGAGATATATTGTAATATCATCCCTAATTATAAGTCTATAGAAGTAATTGTCGAGATATATTGTAATATCATCCCTAATTATAAGTCTATAGAAGTAATTGTCGAGATATATTGTAATATCATCCCTAATTATAAGTCTATAGAAGTAATTGTCGAGATATATTGTAATATCATCCCTAATTATAAGTCTATAGAAGTAATTGTCGAGATATATTGTAATATCATCCCTAATTATAAGTCTATAGAAGTAATTGTCGAGATATATTGTAATATCATCCCTAATTATAAGTCTATAGAAGTAATTGTCGAGATATATTGTAATATCATCCCTAATTATAAGTCTATAGAAGTAATTGTCGAGATATATTGTAATATCATCCCTAATTATAAGTCTATAGAAGTAATTGTCGAGATATATTGTAATATCATCCCTAATTATAAGTCTATAGAAGTAATTGTCGAGATATATTGTAATATCATCCCTAATTATAAGTCTATAGAAGTAATTGTCGAGATATATTGTAATATCATCCATATTTATAAGTGTATATAAGTAATTGTCGAGATATATTGTAATATCATCCCTAATTATAAGTCTATAGAAGGAATTGTCGAGATATATCGTAATATCATCCCTAATTATAAGTCTATAGAAGTAATTGTCGATATATATTGTAATATCATGCCTAATTATAAGTCTATAGAAGTTATTGTCGAGATATATTGTAATATCATCCCTTATTATAAGTCTATAGCAGTAATTGTCGAGATATATTGTAATATCATGCCTAATTATTAATTATAAGTCTATAGAAGTAATTGTCGAGATATATCGTAATATCATCGCTAATTATAAGTCTATAGAAGTAATTGCCGATATATATTGTAATATCATGCCTAATTATAAGTCTATAGAAGTTATTGTCGAGACACATTGTAATATCATCCCTAATTATAAGTCGATAGAAGTATTTGTCGAGATATATTGTAATATCATCCATATGTATAAGTGTATATAAGTAATTGTCCAGATATACTGTAATATCATCCCTAATTATAAGTCTATATAAGTAATTGTCGAGATATATTGTAATATCATCCATATTTATAAGTGTATATAAGTAATTGTCGAGATATATTGTAATATCATGCCTAATTATTAATTATAAGTCTATAGAAGTAATTGTCGATATATATTGTAATATCATCCCTAATTATAAGTGTATATAAATAATAGTCGGGATATATTGTAATATCATCCCTTATTATAAGTCTATAGCAGTAATTGTCGAGATATATTGTAATATCATGCCTAATTATTAATTATAAGTCTATAGAAGTAATTGTCGAGATATATTATAATATCATCCCTAATTATAAGTCTATAGAATTAATTGTCGAGATATATTGTAATATCATGCCTAATTATTAATTATAAGTCTATAGAAGTAATTGTCGAGATATATTGTAATATCATCCCTAATGGAGAGAGAGCAGACAGAGGGTGATGAATTTAATAAACGTTCGCGGGACATCAAATTGCAGACATAAATAGATAAATACAGAAAATAACAGTAAATGGTCCACGCTTTTGGATGGAAAAACAAACATGTTTTCAATGATTTGTATACAGCATCGAACAGATTTTAACCTGTAAAGTAACTATAGTGGCGTCGCTAGCAAGGCTTTGTGTAGACGCTCATTCTTACCTCTCGTAACTGGTTATTCTCCTGTATAAGCTCCCAGACCGTGGCACCATGACTTTGCTCTAGTTTGGCAAACATCAACACAATTAAAATCCACACGTGCGTGAAACTGGGGCACAAAACCATGATGAAGGTTGTTATAACGAGGGCAAACTTTCCCCCTTTTATATCACACAACTGTCCCTGTACAGATGACTTTTATATCACACAACTGTCCCTGTACAGATGACTTTTATATCACACAACTGTCCCTGTACAGATGACGCAGTAATTTAAACACTATGAGCGGCGGAGGGGTGGACCAGTCTCGTCTGCTGGTGTAATGAACGCAACGCGCGTTAAATATCCATTGATGTCATATTAAAAACAAGATGTCAGTCCAAACATTTATTTTAAAACAAATTCAGTGGACGTAATTTGTCCCAATCCTTATCAGAGATACGTACAGTGCTGATCCGTGTTCCTGAGCTGACCGGGAAATATTGAACCATACAGGTAACAGCACGTGCTCTGTATCCTTACTTGTCATCAATCTAATCCTTATTAGACCTCGCAAACCATGTGACAAGTCAGGTCGCATCAACCAATCAATGGAGTCTTCAGTTTCAGCAGGAGAAAGTAGTCGATAATCCGTACCTATTTGCGGTACAGGCGGTTTACCATGTGCACTGCCATGCACTCTTTTATATACATGTAAGTCAAATATTCACATATAAGCGTATAGGGCCTGTCGACTATACTATAACGCCTTTAGAAATATGTAAAGTGATCACAAGGGTAAGATTCACCAATTTTTAAGAAAACACACAAGTTTCTAAATTAAAGGAGCACATTTAAAGTAAACGATATGTTGTGAGTTGACAGCGGTAAGTCAATAAGGAAACTGTTTGGTGTCACTAGCACACACTCAGTGCAGCGAGAGGTGTGTGGATCGACTAACGTTGTTTTTGATTGGAGGAGATTTATAACCACCTGTTCGTGTTTTAGGATAAACAGCAAAACGATTGTTATAATGGGCTGTGAGTTTTCCAATACTTCTCTTTCACTACGGGTAAGTAACCATAATGTGAGTTACAGATCTACGATATCACTGACCAGTGTCAACCATGACGTAGGGGTCATCTAGGGACCACGTGATCAAGCCGATTGGTTCTATTGTCCTATGGTACGTCCTATAATAGCTCGGTCTTGAACTCTATTGATCTTTCTAAGCAGCGAGCCGTGTCAAATAGTTCCCCAGCCTCATTTGATGGCGTTGTTCTCTTCCTTTAACAAAACTGTCGCTATTTATAGCAATGTTTCTCAAAGTATGTGGTGTTTGGTCCACAGAACAAGTAACTATTTATTACTTCAGCAAAGTTCTGACGATTTAACAGGAACTATAACGTTGTTGTTTCCTGTTAGTTAAATGGTTGCGTACTAATGCAGTACAGACTGAGGAGGTGTAAATTACCGGTTATAACTGGTAGTGATCAGCGGCTACACACAATAATAACAAACCCGCCGACTCCGCTCCCACGTTGACCTAACGTGGTTGTTTTTTAAGGAACCCGTTAGTTTTAGTCACAACATCTTCCTTTATAACCTAAAACACTCGTTTTTGTTAACGTGTCTGTGGACGTTCTACTAGCCTCCTGATATATTAGAAGAATACTGGAACCAAGAGGTACGAGTTACGTGTTCCATCAGTCGTCTGCATTTTAACATGTTCCAGTAAAATCTAACAAAAAACGCCAGGAAACTGAATAAGACATAGACACTGTACTTGTTTTCCGGGGAATAAACATCCAGCCTTTTACACCCTTTTTACTACGACTTGCTATATCGAGAGTTTGGTAAAAAAACAACAACACAACAACATCCAAACACGGAAACGAAATGTATCGACACAAAAGAAATGTGCTGTCGCGTTGAGTAGATCTGAGACAAAGCTTTCATTAGACGTCAAACGCTTTGTATACTGATGTGGTCTTCAGACCAGTGCTGCACGAGGTTTCCAAAAGTTCTCCGAAATCAAGTAACGTGAGCATTCTATCAGAGAAAAAACTCGACGCGCAGCCGTTCCCATGCAGCTCAGGATCCGTTACAGCGCCTCATTGGCTTTCCGATCCGCACTCCGTGTTACAAATCATGACTGGGTCGACGTCACGTGACACTCGCTACTAAGAAAGCTTGAGACTGGACTTCCTCTGTAGACAATGGTTCCGGTCACCTATGTGATGAAAGAGTCGGACATGTCAAAACCAGAAACATACGACTGGAGCCCTGGACAAGACATTCACAACTCATAACGAGTGTTCGGTGTAGTACAATTTGCTCCTTAGAGTCTGCATGTTTGAATCAGTATCCAACACACTAAACAATATTGATATTTTAATATTTTTCACCGCATTTCGTTAACATTGGATACTTTCGATGGTTGACTAAAGATGTCTTTTTTCTATATAAAAGCATGTATACAATCTCAAACGATGAACTATATATGGAGTTATGAAACTTATCAAATTATTTTAAGCATGTTTTCATACACAAGTGATTGCTTTAACAAATACAAGTCATTTTTATTTACAGATAAAACGAAGAAGGTGCAACATTTTCAAGATAGATTTTTAGAAATGGCACTATTGTCATTCTGACATTTACAAGGACCACTCCCGAACCGTGATTATATAACTGATGCCCAAGTACCACGATAGAAAACTGATAAGATACTTAATGTATAAGACGAAATCCCGAAGTGTGTAAGTGTATCTTATACAGCCTCGTGTCTAAGTGAACGTATCGTTATGGTAATAATTTATAACGTTTAATCGGACAAACCAGTTGATTTAACAAACATCAACATACAGATAATTTAAACATGAAGAATGATGGCTCCTGTGATTTCATACAATTACGATTACCGGCCGCGAGTTTGTTGTTCTCAACAATGGGAATGTAATTACGATCGATTTGCAATTAGTTTTTTTACAGATGCAGTTTGTTTTTGAGCAAAAATATTATATTCGATACCTAGAAAATACTTGAATATTTTCCTAGAGTCCAGTGTTCATCAAAAATGTTTTCCACATAAACGAAATATCAAATAGTTTAAAGTTTCCTATCGTTTAGGTAACATAAGATAATACTGGCACTATACGTGTACCTACGAAATTTGCCGGAATTTACCGAGATAATTTGATAGGTGAAATTACGTATTCAAACTTTCCGTACTTACAGTAATTGTGCAGTCACGTGCTATCCAAGACAAATGACAATCTCCATACTTTCACTCTTTTATCTGAAGTGATTTCCTGACACAAAGACATTCTATGACGTCATCGTATGATGGCGACTACACGTCATCGTCAAGGTAACGGCGGGATGAGGAAATCACACCACCACTTCACACAATTTAAACACGTGACCAAATATTACATATTTTTGTTGTTATACTAACACGGTCATGCTAGTACGCTTTATTGATTAACAGTTAAGTTATTTTTACGTTTCTTGAGATATTGAAATACATATTCCTAACTTTTATGATGGTATGAAGACCAGTGCGTTACGGATATATTGTCTCATGCCAAGTAGTGCCTCCCGGAGAATGTTTGTAGCAGCTGGTTTCACAGAGTCATGGAAGTGCATTTTAATCCTGAAATATAGTTGTAAATAAAAAAATATGTATCTTTCACGCTGTTTTGTTTTGGTTCATGCATCATTTTAACGAATTGTTTAACCAATTGGTGGAACAGCCATTTATCGGGTTACCAGATGCGTTAGACGCCAAACGATATTCTGAGTGGGTAGATTCGAGGCTCTACAGCAGTGATGTATAGGAATGAAGCTGGTTGTCTCAGTATATGGATCGTTTGTGTATGTTCACTCTCTTTACACTTGAAACAGTCAAACGTTTTATTCAAATAACAGCTTTATGCTAATTAAATATTTATTGACTAAACTGATTAAACAAAATCTATGTGATGAATGGGGCGGAAAGGAAAATATTCCTACTTTTCGCGCTGTTACCATTTAACACAGTAAACAGTATCTTCTAATGACAACTAAAATAGATTAGCTGTGGTAAAAGGTACTACAATGGTAGGTATTCCAGCCTCTTACCTACTTAGTACAGGTTTAGGCAAGTTATTTTTCTATTATTTTAATACTATTTCATTTTTATAGTTTAAATCAATTTTATTGCATCAAAAGACAAATGGATTGGACGAAAGTTATTGCAATAAATTACGTCCTTTCCGTAACAGAAAATATATATACAAAATTAATGTGTCACGTAATACCCTAATACAAATTTATATATGTATATATATATAAGATGTTAAAGATGGGTTACAGCAAAAGAGGTAATGATAGGATTAGGGACACCAACGTATAGTTTTTAAATATGTATTCGGAGAGTTTACTTGAGATCGCGTGTGTGATTTTCCCAATCGAGTCGGCGTAAGTAGTATAACTAATCTATACACACATATCCTTCTGCTTTTTCATCTATATTCATGCAATAATAACCTTTAACAGGAAAGTATAAATCAGAGAAATATCATGACTGATAGACGGTGGCCCCTTACTTTGCAAGAAAGAATTCCAGAAGTGTCAAACATTGGAACTCTTCTTCGTTGGGAATTAACAGAGTGACTTTCTACCTTAAAATCTTTACCTGTAACCGATTATTGACGCGAGAGTTGCGTTTCAATGAGAATGTATCTACGTATCGTCGAAAAAAACAGGATCTTAAAAATCTCCAAGGAGGATGTTCCGTTACTAATGATTATTTAGAATGCTGGCTATGCATTTTTTCAAGCGGTGCCAGTTTTGTATAAACGTCAGTGGAATATTACACTATACAACATGTAACAATGTATTGTATACAGTTGTGAGCACCAAAACACACGGGTACTGATATTCTAGCTCCTGACTGTGAAAATATGATCGATAAAAAGTTATTTCAAGCCCCATCACCCGCTGATAAACATCACAGATATTTGTGATTCGATTCGTCTCGTCTTTGCATAAGTCTTTCTTATACATCCTGTAATTTTGAAATCTGTCTTTTTCGAAATAACTCCTCATGTTTACTTTAAATGTATTGGTTTAACAGAAGAGTATAAACGCCGGGGGAGGGTGGACGATGCGGCGAGAGGAGAGTTGTGATGGAAAGGAGAGTTGTGATAGGACAGGGACGATTACAGGAGAAAAAAAGAAGCGGGAGAGGACGGAACAGCTGAGGTCATTTAAGGAAGTGCCTCATTGTGTACACATGCGTGCACGTGTACTTGAGGCAGGATATATATGCCGACTTTATAGTGCTATCTCACTGAAATACCATGCCGAAGGCACCCAGCACAGCATTCCGCCCGGTCACATTATACTGACAACGGATAAACCAGCTGTCATTATCCTAAATGCTGAACGTTTAGCAGGGAATAGCAACTACCATTTTGAAGTATTTTGGTATGTTCCAGTGTCGAGACAGAAGGACCCATTACCTTCTTAAAAATGGGAGGAGGGAAATTTCAAGGATAAAAGAAGGAACATCTAGACACCAAATAAGATAAAGTGTATATGTTATTAAATATATTCAGCAAAAAACTGTCTCTTCCAAAGCCACGTGCCATTTTTATTGTTGTGCGATCTTGCAGGCTACAAAACTTTGAAAATGTTATTGATTTATAAAGAAATATTGTCACAGAAGAAGACAAAATTCAAGGTCTGCTGTATGATAGGAGTCTAAGAGGTACTAAACATTCGCTTAAATTGTAACAAAGACGCTACTGTCACACTCGTGACAAAGCCCAATCATTCTCCTTACCTAGGTAATTGTATATAACGGGCGGGGTAGATAATTGTATATAAGGGGCGGGGTAGATAATTGTATCTAAGGGGCGGGGTAGGTAACTGTATCAAAGGGGCGGGGTAGGTAATTGTATCTAAGGGGCAGGTAAGAAAATTGTATATAAGGGGCGTGGTAGGTAACTGTATATAAGGGGCGGGATAGATAATTGTATATAAGGGGCGTGGTAGGTAACTCTATATAAGTGGCGTGGTAGGTAACTGTATCTAAGGGGCGGGGTAGATAATTGTATATAAGGGGCGTGGTAAGGTAGGTGTATCTAAGGGGCGGGGTAGATAATTGTATATAAGGGGCGTGGTAGGTAACTGTATCTAAGGGGCGGGGTAGATAAAATGTATCAAAGGGGCGTGGTAGGTAATTGTATCTAAGGGGCGGGGTAGGTAATTGTATCTAAGGGGCGGGGTAGGTAATTGTATATAAGGGGTGGGGTAGATAATTGTTTCTTGCATACTAGACCGAGATATCCGCGTTTCCGGCGGTGCTGGAAAATTCTATTCGACCAAGGGGTCTGGATCGCTTACACGCGCAGACTGGCGGAGGAATTATAGTGACCTTTCGGGGACATGCTATTGTTCGTGACGTCATTTTATGGCGTTTTGGGGTCAGTCAGGGTCATTGACGTAACTAACAGTTGCCATCCGGGCTTCATAAGCACGGCAGAAAAGAATTGCCCACATTTGCTTTAATAACCTACTTTAACATTCTACAATGAAAACTCGCTGTAATAGTTTTATTGTCGAAATGAATACTTTAATTTCATTGTTTGCACATTAAAGTCTGTAGAACTAAGGTCAATGACGTTCCACTCCCATCTTCGAATACGATTTAATGTTCTGACTTTAAAGGAAAGGATAAAATATAACATCTTAAACGTAAAGATCTGATCAAATGCCACTTTGTCGTCTTCGTAAGTCGTCAATTTAATTCTTGAAATTACTTTTTGCTATTTCTTGATTTCTTATTTAAAACTCATTGAACGATTTGCCAGTTCTGTCCGCCTATTGGGTTAGGATTAGGGCCTATTGTTTGTCAGCGGTTTAATGGTCTACATTTAAATTCCAACTAAAACAAATTAGCCATTAAAGTTCCAAGCGTCTTTAAGACCGCGATCATTTGCAGGTGTTCTCATCACTTAGGAATACACAACTCAGCCCCTCACCATCCCCCTCCCTACATCTCTATTCTGAACCTAAAATTGTTATAGGAATGGTCCACAGGACTAGGATAGTTGGGAGTATATATATAGTCGGGGGAACATCAGTAGTCGGGGATATAGAAGTGGTCCGGGGGTATAGAAGTTGTCCGGGGGTATAAAAGTGGTCCGATGGTATAGAAAAGATCCGGGGGTATAGAAGTGG